CACTGCTTTAGATCGGTGCGGGCGATACCCTGGTTTGATATTAATGAGATAGTGATATATAGATGTTTTGATCACGAGTGTTGTTGATATCGTGTTACGATACCGTGATCGCTGAATTACAATGAGTCGTGACTATTCCGCTGCATGTTCGCACTTCCTGTTACGGATATCGCAAGGTATGTGATATCGTGCTGTTATAACATCGTATTGTGATATCGCAACTAGCTGGCTATTTATCGTATTGTCATGGTGCCGGCGCCGGCCGAAATTTCACCGTAAATGTAAACATTCGTGCGACGCTTATCCCAAGCTCGGCGCGACAATAGCGTATCGTCGTCTCGTCCGGCCCTCTGCTGCTTGCGTCGGCAGCTCGCACCACGGCGCATGCGCAGGGCACTCGGACGCTCGTGAGCAGCATCGCGCGGGGCTATGGTAGGTAGGTAGGGAGGGAAGGGAGGGAGAACTAGCCTAGTGTTATATACGCGGTGAGTGGCCACGCTGCTGCACGGGTTTCGTAGAAGGCGAGATTCAACCTCCCCGCTTATCACTCCTTCTAGGCAGTGCGCTTTCCTTCTAAACCACCACACGCCTCCATTGCCGCATTCTTGTTGTGTGTGGTTTTCGTAGCAGCGCCGTGTTCGCTGGTGCAACGAATCGAGCGTAACGTGTATACACGCGAGATAGCGGGAAAGAGAGCAGCGCGAGAAAAATAAAGAACAGAAGAGATGGTGAAAAGAGCGGGGAAGAGAAGGCCGAGAAGAAAGAAAGGAGGCAGAGGCAGAAGAAAAGGAGAGATAGAGCGTGATACAGCGAGATGAGAATAGAGAGGGAGAAGTTAGAAGTGTGACGTGTGTTTGTGCTTTTCCTGTCTGTCGCGTGTGTGTGTTGGGGGGGGAGGGTGTATTGTGCATGTGCATGTGCGTGTGTGTGTTGTGTGTGTGCGTGTGTGTGTGTGCGTGCGTGCGCTGCGTGCCGTGCATGCGTGTGCGATGCGTGCGTGCATGCGTGTGTTGTGTGGCGTGCGTGCGTTGCGTGGCGTGTGTGTTTATTGTGCGTGTGTGCGTGGCGTGCGTGTGTTTGTGTGTGTGCGTGTGTGAGTGTGTGTGTGTGGGTGTGTGTGTGCTTGTGCGTGCGTGTGTGTGTGTGTGATGTGTGTGGTGTGTGTAGTGCCGGTGTGCGCGGTGCGCGTGTGCCGTGCTGCGTGAGGAGTGTGTGTGTGTGTGTGTGTGGTGTTGCGTGTGTGTAAAGTGTGATAATAAAACTATATATAGTATATAGTATAGTATAGTATATATATGTATATATATATATAAAGTAACTCAGTCCATAACACTGCGAGTGCGTTTATGCACATGAGTTATCGGAATTCGCACATCATCCTGTCATCATCATCATCCGATGGTCCGCCATCAACATGCCATTGATATTCTATTGAGGATATGCAGTAACGTAAGCGGCCCGTACGGATTCAGTTATATTAATAGCTAATTACACACGCTCTCACTGTTACTAGTATTGTTATTACCTCCGCGCAACGGAGTTGCAGGGAGGTAATGTAATCGCTCTCGTTACCTCCGCGCAACGGAGTTGCAGGGAGGTAATGTAATCGCTCTCGTGTGTGTGTTCGTGTGTGTGTTCGTGTGTGTTCGTGTGTGTGTGTGTAGCCAGCAGCGAGCCAGCTGTTATACACATGTATACATGTTACACGCGTTGGCGCGATCGATTCAGCACCAGCTCGCTTTAGGGCGTCTAGTCAGCAGAAGCTCGCCTTAGGGCGATCAGTCAGCAGCAGCCAGCAGCGAGCCAGCTGTTATACACATTTATACATGTTACACGTTCGCGGAGGTATGCACTCTCTTTGAGTGCCCTCTGTCTAGTGTTATATAGTAACGTTGATATTGCTACGCTATAGTGTTGTGTTTTATTAATATACTAGCTTCTTTTGTACATGTACGTTATATTGTGGCATTATACTGTTAGGTTATATTGTTGTGTGGTATTTTTGTGTTGTGTTATATTGTTGTGTGGTATTTTTGTGTTATATTGTTGTGTGGTATTTTTGTGTTATATTGTTGTGTGGTATTTTTGTGTTATATTGTTGTGTGGTATTTTTGTGTCATATTGTTGTGTGGTAATTTTGTGCCATGTCGTTATCTTATAGCGCTGTGCTAAATTGTTGAGGTATGTTGTTGTGTTTCATTGTCATGTTGTGTTGTTGTGTTGCACTGTCATGCTAATTATCTAGATTGCTGGGTAAAACTCTTATCGACCATGTGCTGTCAGGAATAATAACAACAAAATCTCTTATACTCACTAAACCAGAACTGTCACCTATGTCCAATTCTTCTTCTTATTATTATTCTTCGTCTTTTTTTTTCTTCTTTCTCTTCTTCTTGCTCTTCTACTTTTCCGTCTTCTTCGTCTTCTTCTTTATTTTCTTGGTCTTTTTTTTCTTTTTATTCCTGATCTTTTTATTCTTTCGCTCTGTATTGAGTTTACGTGTCCCATATTCACGTGGCGGGTTCACAGAAGCGTAACTAAGCTTCCACGGTGGTAAGTGACACTCAAACGCACACACACACACACACACACACACACACACACACACACACACACACACACACACACACACACACACACACACACACACACACACACACACGACACACACACACACACACACACACGCACGCACACACGCACACGCACTACGCGCACGCACACCAACAACACACACACACACACACACACACACTGGACCGATTTCAGTGGATTCAACGATCTTGGACGCGACTGCGAAAACTAGGGCACCAGAGCGACAGCGAGAGAGAGAGAGCGAGAGTACGAGAGACGAGAGGAGATGAGAGCCGAGGCAGAGACACGCAGAGAGCACACAGAGAAGAGAGAGAGCGAGCGAGAGAGCGAGAGAGGAGCAGAGAGAGGAGAGAGAGAGAGAGCAGAGAGAGAGGAGAGGATAGAAAGGCTATAATATAGTGGCGTGCGGGGGAGTAGCCGTGATGGCAGGCTGAAGGCCCGGTTATATCGCATAATAGACCCACATACATACCGCAATGGGGAAAGCCGCACTGACACAGATACACTGCAGTTATCCTTCGTTATCGTCTTTCTTCTGTTATCTCCCCCTCTCTCTCTCTCTCTCTCTCTCATCCTCTCTCTCTCTCTCTTTCTCTCTCGCGCGCTCTCTCTCTCTTTCTCGCTCTCTCTCTCTTCTCTTCTCTCTCTCTCTCTCTCTCTCGCTCTTTCCCTCGCTACCCCTCCCCGCGCGCTCTCCCCCTTTCTTCTCTCGTCTATCACGATTGCTCCGCAGCGCGCTCGCCGGCCCTCCTCTCTCGCTTGTTTCGTTCTCTGCACCCTCTCTCTCTCCTCTCTTTCGAGCGCAACACAAACCGGACCGCACAGGATAAGTTCACGCTGCGTGAGTTATAGCTTCTAGGCTTGCGCTGCCGCCATCCCCGCCTGACCTCGCGAGTGCGACAGTCAGACCGAGAGTATGCGCGCCTTAAGTCCGAGGCGCCGAACAATAGAAGCAACAATAGCGAAGTAAGAACCGCGACCCTTGGGGATACGTAACGACGCGATAGCTGAGAGAGAATGATAGAGAACGATGATGAGAACGAGAGGAGAAAGAGATGAGAGAGAGAGGAGAGAGAGCAGAGATGAGAGAGAGAGCAGAATCCAGGCGCCGCCGCTCAGGGTACCGCCCCGTTTACTGGGCTTCGTCGCATTGCTCGTCAATCGCCATAAAAAACGGACGCCGGCGGCCGTCGCTTCGTTCGCCACAAACTGCTTTACACCTTTAGCGCAAAAGGTTCGTACAGACGAGGCTTCGCACGCATCCGAGGTTGAAGTTGAAAACATATCGTCGCTACACGTATAGACGTTTAGATATAGAACGAGATACGAGACGTAAGAGAGCGAGAGAGAGAAGAGAGAGCGCGAAGACAAAGAGAGGAGACAGCATTAATATATATATATATAATATATATATATATATATATATATATAGAGAGAGAGAGAGGAGAGGAGAGAGAGAGATACGAGAGCAGAGGACGAGAGAGAGAGAGAGAGAGATAGAAGTGACAGATAGATAAGCCTAGATTAGTAGCAACGAGCAGATGAAAGAAGAGAAAGGACAGAGAGATAGCATAGATAATAGATAGATAGATAAATAGCATAGATAAATACGGTAAATAGATAGATAGATAGATAGATAGATAGATAAGATAGTAGCCATAGCATAATGCGATAAGCATAAATAAATAGTTAGATGGATAATTAGATAGATAGATAGATAGTAGGATTAGATAGATAGATAGATAGATAAGATAGCATAGATTAAGATAGCATAGATAAATAGATAGTATAGATTAGATAGATAGATAGATGATAGATAGCGTAGATATGATAGATAGATAGATAGAATAGATAGATGATAGATAGATAGATTAGATAGATAGATGAGATAGATAGATAGCATAGATAGCATAGATAGCATAGATAGTATACGGATAGAATAGATAGATTAGATAGATAGATAGATAGATAGATAGAGTAGATAGATAGATAGAGTAGATAGATAGATAGATTAGATAGATAAGATAGAGCTGAGACGAGATATGAAAGAAATAAGCAAAAAAAGCGAGGGAGAGAGAAAGAATGCGAGAGATATAGATAATGCTGATAATATATCAAATATATATATAATATATGTGTGTTGTGTGTGCTGTTGTTGTGTGTGTGTGTGTGTGTGTGTGCTGTGTGTGTGTGTGTGTCCTGTAGTGTGTGTGTGTGCCTGTGTGTGTGTGTTTGTGTGTGTGGTGTTTGTGTTGTGCTCTGCGGGCCTGTGTGTGTGTGTGTGTGTGTGTGTCTGTGTGTGCGTGTGTGTGTTGCGTGTGTGTTACATACCCCAACAATGTCACAGTCACAGCAAGCAATGCTAGTTCATAAGTTACAGAGCGGGATACCAATCTTATTCGTTATTTTCAACTATATTCAGAATGAAGATTTTCGTATCAGCAATCCTGCTGGCCTGCGTGGCCCAGGCAATGTGCTCTGCTTACGGACAAGGAGGCATCCGCGGCGTGCAGGGAGGCAACATCGGAGGAGGAGGAGGAGGAGGAGGAGGCGGGTTTAGGACAGGCGGCATTTCCGGTGGCGGACAGTTCAGCGGAGGTCGTGTTGCAGTTGGTGGCGTACGTGCCGGTGGATTCAGCGCTGGTGGCGCTCGCGGCGGCGGCATCAGGGTTGGTGGCGCTCGTGGCGGTGGATTCAGCGCTGGTGGCGCTCGTGGCGGCAGCTTCGGAGGAGGCAGTATCAGCTCCGGTATCAGTTCCGGTAAGCAATCACACACGGCAAAATGTTCTCAGTAAACCTTAAAGTAAAAGCTACTAGATGATAGATAATGCATGCGCAAGTGTGTACATGTATGCTTGTGCTCTTACTATTCTTCCATTTTCTAATGAATTTATTTTTGTCCTTATTCAAAACCGTATCATATAAATCTTATCCATTACTCGATATTCAAGCATTCGTATATCCCATTGATTTTATTTACTCGTGTCAAATACTGTCCGGTAAACAATCGTTAGTTACTGTTCGATATTCAAGCACTGCTCTCACTCCCACATTCCTCAATCTCTCTGTGTGCAGGCTTCGGTGGATCCCGAGGTGGAACCATTGACCCGAACAACTTCGCCAACATCGACGCCAGCGACTTTGGTTTCGACAACTTCGGCAACTTGTACATCAACGTTGAGGCTTTCGACTTCAGCAACTGGAGGAACGCCGCCCAGGCCGCCGCTCCCCGTGAGGCAATCAACGCCGCACAGACCGAGCAGATCGTCATCGGCCGTCGATTCCGATCCGGATCCGCCCGCCAGACGGAGACCAGCTCGGCCTCGAAGGAGGGCAGCGGCAACGGAGAAGCCGGCATCGAGTTGTCTGCCTCTCGCACCGCCTCCCAGGACGCCACCCAGCAGTTCACGCAGCAGGCGAGCGGAGAGGGCAAGACCGAGCAGGGAGCGACGTACGGATTCGAGAAGAACAACAACGGAGAGATCCGCTTCGCCCCGGTCAAGCTGGACTCTCTGCCCGTCCACTCCGGACCACGTAGCCAGGTTCCAGTGCGCCGCACCAGCCAGAAAAGCTACTAAGCTGCGTTGGACTCACGACTGCAACCCGGAACACTGACCTACCGACAATGATCCACGTACTTCGCGCAATCGCCAATCATCGGCAAATATCGGCAGACATCAGCAAACATCGCTGTATAGACACTAGGCAAACTCAATGAATCGGTCGTGGTTTCCGATACGCTTTTTCCGAATATCTCTGCTCTCCCTTCCTCCTCTCTTTCCCTACTCACCCCTCCCCCTCTCTCTCTCTCTCTGCACTCTCTATTCCTCTCCCGATCTCATATTCCTCTTAAACACCGCTGTGATGTAAAACAACATTCATCGCAACTGTTGGAATAATTTATTGTTTCTTACGCGCTAAATTCTCCGGTGAATACGTAAACGCGTAAAACATATCTACATATATGTAGATATTTCGGCGTCCCGTACTGGCGCTAACGCTCCTGCGTCAGCTCAGGGATAGAGGGAAGGATGTAACCGGGAGAGGACACGAAGATCCGAACCCGAGACTTGGCTTAAACGTGTAAAGCAATTGTGACAAATCAAGGCCAATCATGTGTAATTCGTCTCGTATATATTTATTCGCAACAAATAAAAATGCATTATCCAAAAGAAATCGACGATACGTTGTTTTTGTGTGCATGCGTGGAATTGTCGGCCATCACATTCACACCTCCTCATCAAAAGTTACCCCCCCCCCCCGTTTTATTTTATCTACTGATGCCGCGTGGGATATCGAGATTTGGCTACATAATTATCTTATACACACTACACAGCGCTGTGCTTTACTGTTCAGCGAAAGAATACATGTAGGTTTTACAGTTAGGCTCTCGCAAATAGTAAAACACTGTTCCGGATATCTATGAAATTATATACATGGTTTGCAGTGCGCACACGTGTAATACACTGTGTGTTTCTAGAGGACATGTTATCACGGACATGTCATCAAGGGAAGACGTGCATGTTAGAGCATTAAAATCTGTGCGGCAGCAACCGCAGTAACACCAGCAACAGTAGCAACACCAGCAACAGCAGCAGCAGCAGCAACAACAACACCAGCAACAGCAGCAGCAGCAGC